GAAGTACAAAGTCAGCTCTCCTTGTGTTCCTTTTGCATGTCCATTCTCTTTGTGCTGTTTCTGGTGGTCTACCTCATCACCCTCTAAGGCAACCTGGCCATGATTCTGTTGATCAGACTGGACTCTCCTCACAAACTTAGCCTTTGTCAATGTATGTTACACCACCAAGATGACACCACAGATGCTGGTTAATCTCTTTTCAGAGAAGAAGACCATCACATTTGTTGGCTGCTTTCTACAGTGTTACATCTTCATCACTCTTCTCCTCACTGAGTATTACATGCTGGCAGCAATGACCTATGATGGCTATGTGTGAAGATGTATGCCATGCTCATATCAGCAGGCTTCAACCTATGCAACTCCCTCACCATCATCCTGGTGTCCTATGCCTTCATTCTCATGTCCATCCTCTGCATCAAATCGGCAGAGGGAAGACGCAAGGCATTCTTCACCTGTGGTTCACACATGATGGTTGTTACCCTCTTTTGTGGGACGCCCTTCTCCCTGTATGTAATACCTCCAACAGATAAGTGTGGAGGAATCCAAAATAATAGCTGTGTTCTACACCTTTGTAAGTCCAGTGCTTAATCCATTGATCTATAGTCTGTGGAACAAAGATGTAAAGCAGGTCTTGAGGGATGTACTCAGACAAAATGTCGTCAGTAAGATGGCAATGCCATAAACCATAACTGTGAAGGTTTGTTTCGAGCATCTTTACATTATATGATGACTGTTGATCTATGGATTTGTCTCAAATATTTCAGCTAAAGCTCACAGAGTGGGTAAAAATGACCTGAACCTGTTAGTGTAGACCCTAGGTCCTCTACCTGAGGTCCATGAACTCGCAACAAGTGCATTGCCTTAGGTGGGCGGTGGTTAGATATTTGTCATATATATGTAATTTAGTTCTGTTGTCATAGAACATGATATCTTGTGATTTGAATATTAAAATTTGTTGAGAAGCATTTCTCCAACTTTACTGAAATATAATTGAAACATGACCCTGTAAGTTTAAGGAATATAACATAATGGCCTGATACACTTAACTACTTTTAAAATAATTATCGCAAAAAAATTTAGTGAAACCATGTATTGCAAATGCATACTTATTTCTAGTATTATCCAAATAAAAATTACAAAAGCATAACCCATTTAAATTGATATTAATAATATCTGAACATTAAACACAGCAATGGAGATATTTTCATCATTCCCAAACTTAATTTTTATTCCCCTGCAACAGCTCTTTCCCTGCATATGCAAAGCTTTGATAATCATAGATCTACTTTTCTACCTATAGTTCATGTAAATGAAATCAAAACATAAATAGTGCTGGATGTATGGACTCTTTAACCTAATAAAATGTTTTTTTTTAGAATCATCCAGTTGTTGCAAGGATCAGTAATTTGAAGCATTTTCTATAACTGAATAGGATTACAGTATAAATTATTTCTTAATCCATCTGTTATTAGATTCTAGGTTGTTTCATAAGGGTCAAACTGTCTTAAGTGTCAGGTTTAACAATGGTGTGATGGTGGGGTGAAATGCATATACTTCCACCAAAGTGATACACATTTACATGGAACATATGTGTTTATGACAATGAAAAATCATAACTTTCTGCCTTTATATGTGGAAAAATGTCCTGTTCTCTCTTCTTTACCTAATAAAGTCACTGTGGCTAGAAAGTCAGCACCTCTGAGTTCTCTTGTTAGACTTTTGTGGGTAGAGTGATCACTTTCTGAATTGTTTCTCTCTTCTACTTTGTAGCAGAAAATTTTAGTGCATCTCATACCATGTACAATACTGTGAAAAAAACCAAATTTGTAAAGTTGGGTTGACTGTTAATAATAAAAGTTTAGGTTGTCACAAGACCAGAATGTCTAGATAAGTGGCAGAGGGAGAGAGTGACAAAGAATGCAGAGACCATGGTAAGATCTTTGCAGATATCAGTGGGAGAATGTGTCACCAGTGAAGTGTTGACATATTTCTCTCCTTTACAAGTACATTAAGGAGTATTTGAACTCAAGAATCAGATAATTTGTATCTCTTGGTTGAGGATGAGTGGATAATTAGATACTTGATAAATGAGAAAAAAAGGTAGCACACTGTTTTCACTTCTACCTATTTGTTCTATGTGTGGGGAAATAAATAATACAATGCTGAATTACATTTTTCCAAGTTTTTCATAAATTACTACTTTCTAATACTTGAATGTAAGACCTTGAACTATTTCTACTACAACTCATTATGGTATCTTGTCCAAATGACTTTAATTCTAGATTTTATATTTTAACAATTTTATCCTAGATATAAAAAATTCATTCACTAAACATTCATTTAATGGTCCTTTTGTGTACCAAAACAAACAAAAAACCCAAAACCAAAATCAAAATTCAGACTGAAAAGGTATGACATAAACATCAAAATCCATGAACTATATCATTATTTTATATCTTTATTAATTATGCTATTCATTGGATTGGAATAGATGATAATCTGTCATGCAAAAAGTCCCATGAGAATAAACCCCTGATCACCCACAGAAATAAGATCAAAAAGATTACAAGCTAGTGCAATCACATTGTGTAAATCCCAAGACTCTAATCCATGTGAGTCTATATAAATTATTTTTTTCCCTGGAGTTTTTACTTGTAGATAACATTGCAATTATAATTTTTAGGATGAGTTGAAAATACTTTAGGGATTCCAGATTTGAAGACTCCAAATTGCAAGTTGGGTATAAATCATTCCCAGCATCTCATCCCTTGGACCACTAGTGTCTCTGAGAGTCTTTTCTGGAGTCAGGTAGGAATGAAAATTCTGACTTCAGTAGTTGCACTTTCTGTTTTTGTTTCAATTGTGGATCTTTATCAATAGGAGTCAGATGACAACAAAAGCAGATTTACATGTTAGCTTAATTTCTTAGCCAGTTAAAATGAATCAATGTGTATATCTTATTTAGATTGTTCACTAGAAAACATTTAAAAAATGGAATTATTTTTACACTAATTTTGGGTTCATGCATTTTATCAGCCACTGTACTTTGCTCTTATATGTGTGAGATGCTGGAATAAAAACCAAGGTGAGGAGGAGGAAAATACAGAGGTGTGATTTTTTAAAAGAGCATCAGTGGAATACCTTCAAGAGAGAAAAATTAAAATGTGTGCAAATTATATGAGATTATTTAAAATATTTAGAACTCTCTCATGGGATTTTTGCATATGTGCTAATTTGCCATATGCCTTATCTCAAATAGACAACTAATAAGCAACCATTGTCAATTGTTAAAGATGATATGATGAGCAAACAATTTAGGGCTATTATTTAGGGCTTAGCTGTTCAGATTCTGTGTTTAAGGGTAGAACAGGCTTATATCTTCCTGTGATTAATATAAGCTCTGGTATAACATATTCCATTTCCTCTGAGTGCTTAGATTTTTTTCCTGCCCATTCATATTTCCTCCCCATTTATGGGATGCCTCTTCCAAGCTCAATCTTTCCTCCAAGTAATTTTTTTTTTGATCATGATAAATTTAAAAGTGCCTTAAATTTAGTATCTCACCAGTGGTACTACTGAACAGAGTTTCATAACTAATGCAGAGTATATCTCCTTGTACTTTGTTTAACTGTTGAGATACAATGAATTTCACAGTCTTTGGGGCTTGCTCAGAGTGGAGTGAAAGATCCTTGGCCTAAGGAGAACACTGGAGATGCTACAGGCTCCTTCAATGAGTAAGCATAGAAAAGGTTGCGTATTCTGCCCACCATCTATAGTTTCCTAACTCACTTGCTTACATAAAAGACTTGGAAATTTACTGCAACATAGAAACCACATTTTGAGTTGGGGAAACTGTTATATTGGAGTTTGGAGGTGAAGATGGTGGGGGGAGGGTGGTCTAATGCTGAAACCTTGCTATGTAGTTAAAAAGAAGGTTGTGAAAAGAGTAACTAAACCAGTCATGATTGGTGTATTTCTTAGCTATAAATCAGGGTTGTTAGGTGTGATAAATTTTGCCCATGAATCCTCCTTGGTCTTACCTTGCCTTGAAACAAGACATTAGCCCCAGCTGGACTGTGGATGGCAGAAATGCAGTGTTGTTGCTCTGGGGACTTGTGAGAGCCATTTCCTGTCCTGATAATCTGATCTTTGCAAAAAGAATGATTCTCCCTTGATTAGCTTTTGTTTTATAGCTTCTGGACATTTCAGTGTGTGATAAAGAAGGTTGAACTAGTAACATATGCTGCTAAAAAGCATGAAATACAATTGTTGTTCCACCAGTAGCACCCCGTAAATGCTTTCTGGGGTAAATGAAAACAATGGGATAAAAGAAATTCTGGTCTAAGTTTTGGTGCCTCCCCTTTCCCCGTATCATTCTTTCTTTTGCATCATTCATACAAACTCTTCTGAGTGAAATTCCTTCATCAATAATTCAGAGATTTGTTGTGTCCAAGTTTGGGGTCTTCATCTAGGAATATTATGATTTCCTGTATTTTATGGATATAGCAGTAAAACTGGTCTCAGAATATTTCTTTCAAATACCTATAATTTATGACTCTCAAAGGCTGAACTTCTAAATATGTGTGCACTGTAAATGAGTGTAAAGTATCGTATTTTCAAATACATCACCATTTTTTTTGAAACTAATCATGGCTCAATGATTAATCCCATCAATTTATAGTGAACAGTAAGTGGTAGTTAGTTGGTGGTGCAATCTAATTTTAAACAACTTTTGGGTCATAAGTCCCCCATTCCAAAATAAGTTGATGGCACAGGGACTGTTCTCTTTGGAAATCATCTGTGTATTAACGCCCAAATAGTAGGGGCCATGACCTTTCTGAAAGTGCCAGAACACATATTCTCAGACTTTGTCTCATAACTGCTATTTGTGGAGATGAATGAGAGAGAAAGAAAAAGAGGGAGAATGAGAGAATGAAAAGCAACATAAGATGGACTGCTCACTCACTTTTTAAATTTATTTTAATTCATTTAAGTCAACAATGCTGGCATCTAAGAAAATAATGAGAGGGAATTCCACCCTGGTGACTGAATTTATTCTCTTGGGATTGACTGATCGTCCAGAGCTTCAGCCTGTCCTGTTCGTGCTGTTCCTGGTGATATACTTGATCACTGTAGGGGGAAACGTGGGGATGTTGATATTGATCAGGATAGATTCCCACCTCCACACCCCCATGTACTTCTTTCTTGCCAGTTTGTCCTGCTTGGATTTGTGCTATTCCACTAACGTAACTCCCAAAATGTTGGTGAATTTTCTATCAGAGAAAAAAACCATTTCCTATGCTGCTTGTTTAGTCCAATGTTATTTTTTCATTGCCATGGTGATTACTGAATACTACCTGCTGGCTGTGATGGCTTATGACAGGTACATGGCCATCTGTAACCCTTTGCTTTACAGTAGCAAGATGTCCACCGGGGTGTGCGTTCGCCTGATTGTGGGTTCCTATGTCTACGGGTTCCTGAGTGGCCTGATGGAAACCATGTGGACCTACCGGCTGACCTTCTGTGACTCCAATATCATTAACCACTTCTATTGCGCCGACCCGCCCCTCATCCGACTCTCTTGCTCGGACACTTTCATTAAGGAGACATCCATGTTTGTGGTAGCAGGATTTAACCTCTCCAACTCCCTGCTCATAATTCTCATCTCCTACGTCTTCATTCTCTTGGCTATTCTGAGGATGCGTTCGGTGGAAGGCAGACGCAAGGCATTTTCTACCTGTGGATCCCATCTGGTGGCGGTGACTGTGTTCTACGGGACACTGTTCTGCATGTATGTTCGACCTCCCACGGACAAGTCAGTGGAACAGTCCAAAATCATCGCTGTGTTCTATACCTTTGTAAGTCCTATGTTAAACCCCATCATTTATAGTCTGAGGAACAAGGATGTGAAACAAGCTTTCTGGAAACTCATCAGAGGAAACGTGCTTTGGAAGTAAAAATCACAGTGTGTCTTTCTTTATAAACTAAATAAAAGATATATTTATGAGAACTGGATCCAATGTTAACTGCTTTGACAGTAAAGTCGATTTTAAGTTGGTGATGAAAGGTATAATCTAAGGACAAAGCATGAAAGACATGGGTCTCAAAGATCCACTATTTTATGTGTAACATAAGAGTAGATTTTGTATGTGAAGAGTTGAAAGTTAAGTATATTAAATACAGAGAGGACTTCCTTTATACGCTTTTAACTTTATAAATGTACATGTTACTTTTACATTATAAAAATGATATTCTTGCAGTAACAGATGCAGTCTCTCATAGAGTATAAAGTCAGAGTTAAATATCTCCTCCCCGCCCACTCTAATCTTCCATTCTTACCTCCCCAATTCCTGCTATTAAGTTTCTTATGTTTCCAGATAATTTCTGCCTACCTACAAACCGTTATATGATCATATATGCACACAGGTACATAAAATTTTTCACACTCATGTTGACTGTAAGGAGCTAATTTTAGTACCTTAAGATTCTGTAGCATTTACTATGCAGGGGCTTTAATCCATGGGTAGGGGGGTGACACTAGTGCCATTCTAGTGCTGGTGAGACTTGCTGCCACCTCCAGGAGAGAGAACTGATGATAACATCTTCTGCCCACACCTGATATCTTGTCCCGGAAATTGAGAGTCACTTTTCAGCAGCTGCATACCTATGGGTGCTATTACAATGTTATGCCAGACTAGTCAGAATCTGAAAAAGAAAAATGTTAGAACCTGTTGTGCTCACACAGGTAGAGGCTACTTTCAATGAAAAAAGAAGTCAAAAACTGTAATCAGTCATGCCTCCAACAGAAATGTTCTCTTGATTGTACTTCAAAACTTGCTTTTCTACCTTACGGCTTATTTCTGTTCAGGATTTCCTACAGGGTAACATTTTTGTTTTCATTAATTTTATATTACCCCATATAATTCATTCACATTTTTATTACTTGGGGCTGTTAGTTAAATACATTTTGAAAGTCAAATTGCCTGCAAATATTTTGAAACACACATACAAAAATATAACTGCTTTAAAAAATAGTAATATTCAATTACTAGTTAATTACTACGCTAAACTTACTATTAATTAATTACCTATAATTACTATACTATACATGATCTATTACTATTAAAGTACACACATACCTGTTCAGTTATGGAAATGTTCCAAACTTTCTGATTTCTGGGTCCATGTGTCCTCTTTTATGGTGAAACTTGGCACAAATAAAAATTCAATAATGATTGCAGTATAAAAAAAAAAAAAGTGAATCCCCTGCTGCAGGGCCTGGCAATGGCTTGATAGTGCTGTCTTTAACCCCTGCACCACCAGGAAGGTCCTGATTTAACTATTTTTTTTTTTCCTGATTTAACTATTGAATGAATCTTTTGGAGTTTAAAGTGCACTTTAGAAGTGGGGTGATGCTCTGATGCATGAACTTAGAAAATCAGAAAGCCTGAGAAAGGAACCATCGATTTGGGAATTGCAATAGATCTAAAAGCATTATTCTGATGATCTTGGGTTAGGAGATCTATCATAATAGAGGTTTCTAGAATATTTGGTTACCTTATTTGTAACCGGTTTCACCTGGGCAGGACCAACTTGTTATATTGATGTCAAATAAAATGATTAACTTACTTTTTTGACTGCAGCGCCTCCTGCTGAGTGTTGGAGGCACTGCAGAGCTCATGCCCAGCAGTGCCTGGATGGCAAGCAGTGGTGAGATCACTACCAAGGGAGATGAAGAAGAAAACACAGAAGAAATGCTTACATCATTCTTAACTTCCATGGTGCAGTCCCTGAGCTATCTTCAAGAAACTTTTAATTGGCAGAATAATTGCTCAATCTTGATTTTTCTTATGCCATAGGGGGCAGGAATCAAACTTATAAATGCAAGCTATAATTTCCCTCACTATTTTTGGAGGCCTATTGATGATTTTCCCTCTGTTCATAGGTAGGCTTCTCTATTTGTTTGTGTTAAGTACTATTCAATGTGTTTCTGTGGTTATTTGAGATCCAAACTCTTTTGATAACAATAAGTGTATGGTTAGATGTAATGATGTTCATAATTGGAGAATTTTTGTTTCTTCTAAATATTAAACAAAGGGGAGACAGAAAGTATGAAATTCTTGTGATGGACATTTATGTTTCACACATGGCCTAGCATTTACATAAATTAAAACTTTTACATCCTCAGGGAAAAAAATCACCCTGCAACAACTTCTTCAAGGTGAGAACACTAAGGATTATTAAGGTCACATTTTCTACAATTGTAGAGCTAATATGTAACACAGTTGTAAGTTTGCAAATCAAATCTTCCTGGTTCCAAAATCTATGAATTCATAAAACTATGAGTTATTCTGTGAGCTGAAGAGCAGCAATAAGCATACCAGAGACATTGTAGCATGACTAATTTTTAAAATTTGGGGAAGTGAAAAGATACAGCAGTAGACCATGTTTCAGAAGTTTGCATCTAAGACTAGGGCTTGGGCGCCTGGAAGGGTATGAATGATTCAGTTTCAGCTTCTCTGCTTAGAGATGATAAAAGACAGGGAGACCCCCCCAGCACACAGCCTGCATGAAAACACATGTACACATGCTGAACAAAAGGCAGCTGCTCAAAAGACATGGGGAGGAAGACAAGGAGTTCTTGAGGTTATTCCAGAGGTGAAGAGAGGAGGTGAGAAGTAGTCAGGGTTGGTGGAGAGAGGAGAGCCAGACCTATGTTGTCAAGTTGGAGATTAAGTTCTGCAAACAGCCAGTGGAAAAGTCATCTGTGGTTAGGGTATGAGAGGAAATTTAAAGAATAAATATGCCTAATGCTTATATTTCATTTTTCATTCTTTGGCAGCAAATACTTTCTTTTTCCTGCACTCCATAGACATGCTCTGTGTGTGTGTGTGTGTTGTGTGTAAGCATTTTGGATTTCTAAATAGCCTAAATTAATAAATTAATAGAAAGACATTTTAAGGAAATTTTAAAAGGTCTCAGGAGGTTATCATCTGCATTATCTAAGCATTAACAGTTTTAAAGTCACAGTGAGTTTTTTGAGCATAAACTCCTGAGGGATTAATTAAATTCTAACTAATAACTTTCACTGGATATAACATTATCTTATACAGTCAGCCTTATGGTGATCTTGAACCCTAATTCGAGAAGTTCGTATTAGACAATGATTTCAATTCCTGCAAGAGCAAAAGAAAATGATGGTTAAACAAGGTATTCAGTTCTCATTTATGCAAAAGTCTGAGCTGGTCTGTCAGTTAAATTGTGCCCTATTTCAGGCATTCTGACACATTTACGCCGATTTTTCTGCCATTTCACTTGATGACCCCCGTGTCTCACCTCTACCTCCACTGTCGGTCTCCCAGGGGAAGGCAAAGGAGCAGAGAGATCTTAGAAAGGGGGAGGGGATCAGAAGTGCACATGTCTCTTTCATGACGTCACTTCATTAGAACCTAGTTTTTGTTGTAGCAAATTTAGCTTGAGAATAAGGGAAGAAAAAGGATGTTTTTATGTTTGTCTTGCTTTATTTACTTTGGCTTTGCTGTATTTTTAAGACCCATGTAGCTCCCAGGACCAGCACGTGGGGTCAGGGGCTTCTGTGAGCTCCGCCCCATGTTGCTCTTCCTTCCCTTTTCACAACTGTGGACAAAATACTGGACAACATCATTTCTGTGGTCAGCGTCATTTTGGGTTGATCATCTAAAAATCCAACTTTGCCAAGGTGTTTTGAACTAACTGCAAGTTTTAGAAGATTTTTTGAAGGCTTGCCTATACATTATATTGGTTGCTATTCATGACAAGATATTGTACATGATAGGTGATAAGAGTCAATCTTTTCACTTTTAGAAGATTTCTCTGTTTCTACTTTTCCTCCAAATAACATCAAGTAATGCTAAAATAATAAAAAATGACTTTTTATAACTTTTAATTTATCATTTAACTCCCTTTCACAAAAAAAAAAAAAAAAAAAAACCTAAGGGATTGTTTTGTATTATGATCTGGAAAAAAACTATTATCTGGACAAGAACTTCTGGTGTCAGATTCTCTAATTCTTATTCAGTTATCCAGTAAATTCATTTAGATACCTGGTGAATGATGCTTAATGGCACAATATGGAATGAAAAAAATTGATTGAGATTAGAAAAAAGTTGAGTGAGGTTAGGTAAAAATGCAGAACATAGACTAAGTAGAAATGGAGTTGGGCAAGAAATATAGTCATAGGAACTAAAACAGAGAAAGGGTCAGGAGGACAATTAGCAAAGGAAAAGACTTACTAGTAATGGAGACCCAGAGTCATTTTGAGAGTTTGCTAACATTTAATAAGGTCCTGGCCTAATTAAGCCACTGTCTAGTGTCTCCTGGGACAAGACAGTCAGAGCAAAGAAAAGAAATGCAGAGAATAAAACTAAAACAATGTATGAAGACAATATGACATTTCTTTCTTTTAAAAAATGTCCGGGAGTTAGTCTACTGGAGCTCTTCCAGGTGTACGGGGGTCTTCAGGTTATCCTCAAGCTTCATTTCACATTTTTGCCAGTCAAGAAAGAATGGGTGAATGAATGAATGTCCTGATCCAAAATTCTCATTTCCATTTAAGGAAATTATGAGAAGAAACTTCACTTCAGTGTCTGAGTTCATCCTCCTGGGACTGACCAATCGCCGGGAACTGCAGATTCTCCTCTTCTTGCTGTTCCTGGCTGTTTACCTGGTCACCGTGGCTGGGAACCTGGGCATGATCATCCTCATCCAGGTCCATGCCCGGCTCCACACGCCCATGTACTTTTTCCTGGGCCACCTGGCCTTCGTGGATCTGTGCTTCTCTTCCAATGTGACCCCAAAGATGCTGGAGATTTTTGTATCAGAGAAGAAAACCATTTCCTACCCTGCTTGTCTGGTGCAGTGTTACTTTTTTATTGCCCTGGTCCACGTGGAGATCTATATCCTGGCTGTCATGGCCTTTGATCGCTACATGGCCATCTGCAGCCCTCTGCTTTATGGCAGCAAAATGTCTAGGAGTGTGTGCATGTCACTCATCATGGTACCTTATGTGTATGGAGCCCTCACTGGCTTCATGGAGACCATGTGGACCTACAACCTGGTCTTCTGTGGTGCCAATGAAATTAATCACTTCTACTGTGCCGACCCCCCACTGATCAAGCTGGCCTGCTCTGATACCTACAACAAAGAAACATCCATGTTTGTGGTAGCTGGATGCAACCTTTCCTTTTCTCTCCTCATCATCCTGATTTCCTACCTTTATATTTTTCCTGCCATCCTCAGGATTCGCTCCACTGAAGGCAGGCGCAAAGCGTTCTCCACCTGTGGCTCCCACCTGACAGCTGTGACCATATTCTATGCCACCCTCTTCTTCATGTATCTCAGACCCCCCTCAGAGGAATCTGTGGAGCAGGGGAAAATGGTGGCTGTGTTTTATACCACAGTGATCCCCATGCTGAACCCTATGATTTATAGCCTCAGAAATAAAGATGTGAAGGAAGCCTTAACAAAGGAACTGGTCAGGAGAAAATGATTTATTTAAAAAAAAAGAACAACACAGAGAGAACTGTGTCCCCAAACTATTAGTCCCCAAATTATTCTTAGATTTTTTTTTTCAATTTCCAGAAAAGAATTGGTGATAAAATGAAAAAAAAAAATATGGGCACCAAAGGGAGATTCTGTTTTTTTTTTTTTTAAAGCTGTAATGCCTTTTTAAAAATACAAATACAAAAAATAAAATTTTAATGAAAAATGTTTGCATGTCATTCAATTTGCCCACCAGTGATATTTTTCATTTCCTTCCCTTCTGTGCACATGATAGCTTTACAAATTCTTTACATGGAGGGTTGAGGTGGGGTAATATCACTGAAAAATGAGTTAGATTGTAATTCTTATGTGTCACTTTTCAGTTGGGTATTTCATTGTTGAAGGAGAACACTTTTCTCCTGCTCTGGTGACCAATGGACATGCTCTTGAGTGAGCACACGGAATGGATCATCAACCATCTCACAAGAAAAAAAGACAAAGGACAAGAAATGCTCTTGTTTTCACAAGCAACCAGGGTATGTTAAGGTGCTTTTTTCTACAGCACCGATCACCTCTTCTAAATGATACATATTCATTCTATAAAATCCAAGTATACAGAAGTATAGAAAACAGAAATTAAACTCTACTACCCTCAAAGAAATAAAATTGAGATTTTATGATCTTCTAGCCTTTTTTTTTCTATATTTTTACATATAAGCATGTGCTAGTTAAAATTACTTATAATCATTATGTAAAATTACTAGTGTAAAACATGCATATTGCATGTCCTTCAGTCCTCATAGATAACATATTCTTGTTATTTCCTTTGGTAATGAACTCATTAAATTATATGCTTATAGAGACATGACTGATTGGCACCATTTTATTAAAGATAAAATGTTAACATTTTCCCACCATCCTCTGCATCCTTATCCCATTTCTTTAACCGTCATCTTCACAATAAAATCACATTAGAATTTTTCTTAATATTTATTGTTTAACAAATGTTGGCGAGGTTCTGGAGAAAAAGGAACTCTCCTGCACTGTTGGTGGGAGTGCAAACTGGTCCAACCACTATGGAGAGCTGTGTGGAGATTTCTGGACCTACTAAACATAGAGCTTCCCTATGATCCAGCAATTCCACTCCTAGGTATTTACCCAAAGGACACAGAAACATCAATTCCAAAGAGCACCTGCACCCCTATGTTTATAGCAGCACTATTTACAATAGCTAAGCTTTGGAAACAACCCAAATGCCCAAAAATAGATGACTGGATCGAGAAGATGTGGTACATATACACCATGGAATATTACTCAGCATTCAAAAAAGATAAACACAAGCAATTTGCAGCAATGTGGATGGAGCTGGAAGGGATCATGCTCAGCAAAATAAGCCAGAAAGAAAAAGAAAAATACCAGATGGTCTCATTCATAGCAGGAATCTAGAAAACTTAAATAAGGGACCAGGAAAAAGAATAACTATAAGAAAGAAAATATCAAAAACAACAAACACCTATGAACCAGAGACGCTCTATGGGGGTTGGGGGCCAGGGAAAGGAGGGGTTGGGGTCAAAATAAGGGGGTTGTAATTGTATGGGGAATATAAAAATAAAATTTAAATAAAAAACATTTTTTGTTTAATATTGCTGTGAATATATAATTAGTTATAGTATGAGTAACACAATGAACAGTACTAACATTAACAATAATTATTAATATTATGAGTAATATTATAAATAAAATTCTCTTTTTACATATTTCTGTTTTCCATGGAGTTAATATTTGTCTTAAATTTTGATTTGTTTTTGAACCTACTTTCCTCTCAATTCCACAGAACTATAAAGCAATTTTCATAGGGTTAAACCCAATAGAAGACCTACAGTTTCCACATTTTCTCCTTGGAAGTGCTCTGTCTGCCTATTGGATTCTACCCTGGCTGATCTCTGTGTCCACTGCAGGATTATTATTTGAAAACAGTGATTCTACCATTGATTCAAGTGTTTCAGTCATTTAATCTATGTTGAATACTGATGAATACATTAGAAAAGGAATGGAAAAGTTATAAACAAGAGAGAAAACATTTTATTTTATTTATTTATTTATTTATTTATTTTTATAGAGGCATTTTTTTTTTTTTATTTGTTTGTTCGTTTTGTTTTGTTTATACATGCACTGGGTACAGTCAGAAGCGCGGGAGAGTGAGAGAATTCACCAGAGCCAGAGCGGGGAGCAGAGCAGGCAGAAGGACCGAAGTACACTGCTGAGGGGAGCAGCGGGCAGCAGGAGAGGTCTGCGCGCCATGTGGGACCCTCGCCCGGCGGCCGGGATCGAACCGGAGCCGCAGAGGCCGCGGGCAGCTTCGCAACCCAGCGCTCAACCGCTGCGCCACCGGGGAGGCCTCTTTAGTACATTTTAAATGTATGTGTGTGTAATGGAGTTAGATAGCCGGATATCTAAACAAAAAATTAGCAAAATATTTCAGGTATTGATAAGTCCATGGTGAAGGTAAAGATAATTGTTCACAGTATTGCCTCATACTCATAGCAAACTATTGACTTGAACTCCAGTGAGCTATACAATAAGAATTAAACAAAAACTTGATGTGAGAAAGCATATTGCAAACAATTAGTATTTCTGTCTATGAGGGGTTTTCCACTGAGATTCCACTTTTAATTGCTTCTAGTTGAAACATTTGGGGATTCTCCAGAGATAAATGTTGATGTCAACAACTTAGGTATAAATCCTATTGCAATGACTAGGATTTGACCTTTGGGGTCATTACCAAGACATTTTCACAGGTAGGAGAGGAAATGTGTTTGTGTTGTAGCTTTCAATATGTAGTTGTGTATTCTCTTCATTAAATTATATACATTTAGATAGTGATGTAGTTAAATAGGTTCTTTTAGGGGAAATTTGCATAGACAATGCATTTTCTGTGAAAATATAAAGGGTACTTACTCAGTTTGGTTTTTCTCTTTCATGATATATCAGTGTTTTTGGATTATCTTGGTAGAATTATATAACATGGAACTCTAGCAGATGCTTCACTATAAATACTTTGAAATGATATTCTTTTTGTGTTTTCCATGTGCCTAATGCTTGGTGTGGTAATTGTCAGAAGAAAAAGACACATTGGAACTAACTTGGAACTTTGCAATTTATTAATGCTTTAAATGTTTCTGACCTCAAGAAGTAAAGTGTATTCCCAAAAATGCTTTTCCTTGTGAACATTAAATATATGGACTAGCTGGCCAGATTCATGTGTATATGGATCTACAGGGTTTGGACTAGAATATCTCTATGACTTTTCTGGTATTTTTACTTATAAGATTCTGAATTATTTTCCAATGCCTTGTTTCCATTAAGGACCTTGTTTTTTACAAGTCATTCTTGCACTCCAGGAGAACATTTTTCTTTTCAGAGTATTGTTCTTTCTGCTTTTATTTTTACCAAGGAACTTGCACTAGGAGTATCTGATAATACTCAAAATATTAAATTGGTCCAAAGACCTTATGGAAATAACTGATGAAGGGGATTCTCATCCCTGTCCAGCCATGTGGCACTTGTACCCAATGGACTTGTCAAAGTCACCTAATGCATCTGAATGTTTGCTGTTTCTTGCCTTTCAGTCTGACAGATGTCCCAAGTGTTCTATTTTTATACTAGTTGTCTCTCTTTTCCATTGTCTGGTAACTCTAGAATTATGATCAGTGATAATGGTTTTTATTAAAATGGCATGTGCCTGCGGCCACTGAGACCTGAGAAAAGTTGGAATGCTCCCTACAGACCAACTCAGTGCTAACAACCAGATCTAGGACTGGAGAAGTTGTTCACAGGTTGTGAGTTAAAAAAGAGCTCTTGGCTCCCAGATGAATCACAAAAATGAGGCACTAATCTAGACTCTTGTCCAAATGTCTTCCTATTTTTAACGGTTGCAACACTGATACCTTGGCTGCCTGTCTTTCTTCTCACCCTGCCATCTGTCATGGTTAGAATGTCTTTCCTTATTATCTATGCCTCAAAGAAAATGCTAGCTCAAGTTTCTATTTTATTCGTAAGTGTTTTTTCTTCCATTAGTCCATAGTGCAATCATTGGTGCAGATTAAAGAGACGATGATAGTATATAAGTTGAATTTTAACATTTTGTCAATAGTTATCATCTTTTCCCAAGCTGTACACTCAATTGAAAGGAATTGACAGATTTTCTTGGGAAAGGACAATGTTACAGAGGGAGAACACTAAATTAGGTACTATACTGTGTCCTATCAATACCACATACAAGAAATAAATAAAATTTCTTTTTAAATTTTTTTAGATTCTAGACAATGAGTTGGACTTGATAGGAAATAGCATAGGAGGAGATCACTAAACTGGGACATTCAGAACAGGATCTGACTTGGAAAAACCACTTCAAGTCCTTGGGTTGCAGTTTCTCCATGTTCAGAGTAAATGACTTCACCTGTGCTATTTTCATAATCCTATCCAAACTGCTGTATATCTCTAGCTGCTCTAACCTTAGGCATTCTAAATATTTCTAAAATTCTCTTATGATTTCTTCTTTGACATATAAGTGATCAAGTTTTTTTTTAACTTTCCCAAAGTATTAAGATACTTTTATTTATAATTGTGTCTTTAATTTCCAAGTTGGTAGCACAGTGTGATTATAAAGACTGCCTAAATTATTTAAAATAAATTAGACTTGTTTTATTGCATATCTACTTTTATCTAATTGTGGAAAAACAACTGGTACAACATAACTAAATCCTTTTGAATCATTCTATAATATTTAACCTAGTATGATAGTTAAGCAGTACTTCAATGATTTAAAAAAAGAAACATTTTTTATTTCTCCTTAGATTATCACACCAGTGCCTCACATATGAGCCAAAGGAATGTCCAGACAAAACTACACTGAAGTGACAGAATTTATTCTCTTGGGTCTCACAAGCCGTCCAGAATTGAGAATCATTTTCTTTGTGCTGTTCCTTGTGGTCTACATAGTCACTGTGTTAGGGAATGTTGGCATGATCATTTTAATCAAAATTGATTCTCGACTTCACACACCCATGTACTTTTTTCTCTCAAGCTTGTCTGTTCTAGATCTATGTTTTTCCACAAATGTCACACCCAAAATGTTAGAAAATTTCTTATCGGAGAAGAAGACAATCTCCTACGCTGGCTGCCTGGTGCAGTGTTACATTGTCATTTCTGTGGTCCTCACAGAGCACTGCATGCTGGCTGTCATGGCCTATGACCGCTACATGGCCATCTGCAACCCTCTGCTCTACAGTAGCAAGATGTCCAAGAGTGTCTGTGTCCGTCTGGTCATTGTCCCTCATGTGTATGGCTTCCTTCTCAGTGTGATGGAAACCTTGAGGACCTACAACCTCTCTTTCTGTGGTGCTAATGAAATCAACCATTTCTACTGTGCAGATCCTCCTCTTATCAAGCTGGCCTGCTCTGACACCTACAGCAAAGAGCTGTCGATGTATATAGTAGCCGGCTACAGCAACGTCCAGTCTCTTCTGATCATTCTCACATCATACATGTTCATCCTCATTGCTATCCTGAAAAGCCATTCTGCAGAAGGGAGAAAGAAAGCCTTTTCCACATGTGGCTCCCACCTGACAGTGGTCACAATCTTCTATGGCACCCTCTTCTGCATGCATTTGAGACGCCCCACAGAAGAGTCCGTGGAGCAGGGCAAAACGGTGGCTGTGTTTTATACCACAGTGATTCCTATGCTGAACCCCATGATCTATGGTCTCAGGAATAAGGATGTAAAAGAGGCATTGAAAAAGGCATTAGGGAATCAAAAAGTGGGGAAATAAAAGTGCCAGCCGACTATTAAAACATTTGTAGTCATAGTAAGATATGTTATTGAGTTAGATGTCTTATTTAGGGCTAGTCTTGCACAATACATTTCTATTCTGTAGCTGACTAAGTTAAAATTCCTGAAGGCTGTTGATGAAAGTGGAAAGAATGGAATTCCCAATTTCTTCATGTTTCTGTATCAGCTAATGTAGTTTCTTACCAAAAAACTATAGGTTAACCAAGACTGAATTTTCACTTTGTTTGTTTTTATGTCAGATAGAAAGATGTACAAGTCTCTATCATGTATGCTAACTTTATTATGTTTAGTGTCTATAGCCCATATCACATGTTTTATTTTGAACACGGCTTACATACTTAAGGTCATTTTATGATGCAATATGGCAGCTGGAAAGAGAACCCACTTGTGTGCATGTTTTTCAGTGAGTCTAAATCTATCCAGAGTCTCTCCTTATATCTTCCAGACCAAAGCTTAATCTTATCTTCAAACTTCCCTGTGAGAGGATCTTGGAATGTTTATCCCAGGATACTGTGATTCAGGCTACAAGATGAGGATTCTGTTGCTATCCCATTGTTGAATAGCACTCCTCATGTCCATGGGAAAAAGGTAGACAGAATAATTTTGATGGGAGAATAAAGAGATGTATTCCAATTATTGCTCCCTTCTCTCTCTCTGTGGAACATTTCTGCATTTCTGTTTTTCAAAAAAACCTGAAACCCAGTCCCTTGATTTCTTTTCAAGTTAAAATCTTTTGACAACATCTCAACCATTTTGTTCAGTACTGATCCATATCAATACAAGCATATGTATATATATATGCATATATATATATATATAAAACACTAATCAGTGTGATAATGTAGACCAGTAAGAAAACCACAATGAAATGGAGTTGTAATTCCTGATGACTAGTTAATTCCAAAAGAATAAATTTTGTCACATCATAAAATTGAGCATTTGAAAAAATTGATCCAGGTAGAGACACATTATCTACTAAAACAAACAGAATTTGATAATTATACATACCAAATATAGCTATTCTTTATTTATCCACTATTTACCCATTCCTTTTCAGTTCCCTGATATATTTTTATGTGTCCATTCTTTTTTCTTATATATCTTTTCTTAGCAATATTTCTTTCTCTTATGTATATATGAGTTTTTTTTTTTTTTTACAGAGATCATGGTAAATAACACCAGTATAAAATGTAGTGGCAGAACTTATTGTCTTTAGTTTTTCTTGTATATAAACAAATATTTCAGGAGAAATTTTATTCTTGCAATCTCTCTTGGAAAAGAACATATCTTTTATTCATACCCCCAGTTTTTCAGAAGTGCATATATTTTATTCACTAAATTTATAAACTTATAAGTTCTACAATATATTCAATTTTTTTCAAAACCACAGGAATGTTATGAATGTTATTGGATAATCAGGAAGTTAACTGGAACTTCCATTTAGCACCTTGCAAATTTAAAGTACTTTTAAAAATGACTTAAAACTTTACAATAAATTAATAAATTGTTTATATAAATTATCCTCATGATAAAAGGGATCTATTCTCTTATAATATCATATAATTAGTGTCATTCACACTGTAGATAAAATTATCCTGAGTGTAGTTTAGATAAATAAATTTTGGTTTGGAGCTATCCTTGTTACAGTTGAACATGATTGCCTAGAATATTTTCTACCTGCTCCTTGATCTATATTTTGTGTGATATATATAATTTCATAAAAACATAATAGGTATGCATTTAGTCATAGTATCTATGACTATAAGGTGTGATGTCACCTCTAAATGTTTGAGATCCAAAAGCTTTGTCAATTAATCTTTGTCAATTAGTCTCTACATATCTATATCTCTTCTTCAATATTTATTTCCTGTTGTGATATACTGGTTGACCATATTTATAAGCTAAAGACTCTCAATGTAACTCGTCCTACCAGTACCCTCCTCTGAATTCTAGACTCCTATATCCAAGAGAAAACACCATTTTAAATAGGTTGACATTACAAAGGTTTACATGACTTTGCATGAAGAATCATCTGGACAGAACTTCATTTGTATATCTTTCATTTTTATTTAAACACACATATATGCAATTATTTCCCTAAAACTTTTAAACTGAAATGTTTATTCTTTCAGGTAAGTTTGTTTTTCATGAAGTGACTTATTTGTTTAATATCTTTTAATACAATGCTTGACTTATGACAAGATTTTTCTGTCCAGTCTGATTTCTTGAAAAAGATCAAACCTTAATCATAAGCATTTGATCATATTTCAGCTCATAATCCATATTCTGAAGCTATGCAGAATCCAATACTTTAATTATTTCAACTCACAGACTACCCAAACTGTATATGGCAGTGTATGCCATTTTATCCAGCCAGTATGTCTACTTGGCATTTGATATTTTGTCCTAGTTCCATTTGAGCAAGACTCCTTGGCCAACTTTTAGATTTCCTTGTTTGGAGAATAATTAAATATCCACTTGTATTTTTTAGTGCATGGAAGCAGAAACTTCTGGTCATAGCATATGTCAAAAACCTTAATTGTGAAAAATGCAGTGATCTGTCATTGAATTTGAAAAACTTTGTTCAATGATCATATTCCTGAATTACTTGGTATAGGTTAATACTCTATTCTGTACTGCAGGATATATGTAGATAGGTAGATAGAAGGATAGATATGTATCTACTTATTGTTCTATCATCTATCTATTTATCTATCTACCTATCATCTACCATCCATCTAGCTAATCTCCACTACAGAATGGAGAAATTTCCAGTTGCCTGATGCCTCTTATCTTATATAACATGAAATAATTATGTCTGTGTTTCCATTTCTAGTCAAGCTGCAAGAGTTCAGAGTACATGGAAAGATTAATTTTCTATAGATATTTGCCTTTATCTTTTGATTTTCATTAAATAATAATCGGTTAAGTAAATAGAAACTAAGAGTTTTCTTTAGTGTTAATGGTGAAACTCTCTCTGGGTCTTATTACAAAATTCTTCTTTGCAAACTGAATTCCCTACTGTCATTGCAAAAAGTAGGTTTGTTGCTAACCAGTTTCAAGGGGCCTTATTAAACTGATGGGATTCTTAGCGTTTACATGGGGACATATTAACTGAAACCAATCTCAATAAACAAAGTTTCAACTTAAGCTTAATTAATATGCAATCTAGTTTGACTGGGTTGAGATAATTATCTGATTCCTTGGAGATGACTATTTCCTCTTCATTGGCGTCCTTTCCTTTGGGAGACAAGATAGTGTAGTGGGGCTAGATATAGGCTGGTGCTTAGTCTTTCACTATCTGCCCATGTGCTCTTGGGAATATTATAAACTTTGAGCCTCAATTAAGAAATGAAAATGCTGCCTTAAAGCACAGGGTTATTTTAAGGTGCAAAGACGTAACAGATATTAAATAACCTTGACAACTGCAAATTGATGAGGTTGCAATGATTACAGGTAGAACAGTAATGGCAACAACAAAAATATCAGAAAAAATGATTGCCATGTAAACTCTTGTCATATTGGTATTCTGTGAAATTTCTTAGATTCTATGACAGAATGCCATAGCTTAGCTTTTGCTGCCAGAATAGATCTCACCTGATAGCTTTCAAGAGAGGTCTTATCCTTATTTAGCTCCATGTGCATTTCACTTCAGATATATGCATTTTGAATACGTGAATAAAATGTAATATTTTTAGTATATAGGTTTAGTAGATAGTGGATAAGTTTTAGTAATTAAGTTAATGCACCTAACAGAGAATCTCTTCATTTATAGGATAACATTCTCACTCATTCTTTAAGTTGTGGCTTAGGTGCTTCCTCTTTTCAAAGGTCCTAGAATACACCTTCACTGAAATACACAAAGGTGATCTTTCTTTCTAAGAAATTCCTAAAGCATTTTATTATCTTGAAAAGAAATGCAATGAATTGCAATGAAGTCAGAGAATCACTGGTCAGAAACCCTACAACCAAAATATATAATTTAAGTGAAGAGACATAAACAAGCAAGGGATAGTGATATACCAAATATCTAGCAACAGTGTAATCCTATCATCACCCCAAGGACTGAAAGGAGAAGCAGGGGACATGTAAGGACAAGATTGTGAATGAAAGGCTGATGGAGGGAGCTGGAGAAAGGGTGCATCTACTGCCAGTGTCCTGATGTCAAAGCTGGAGAGTGCTGGACCAGAGATATAGTGTCCTCTCTCCCCCTCTCCTGTCACAACATCCTGTTGGTTGTATGCAACTGGATCCATATATATAAACACATGTGCACACACACACACACACACACACACAAGAACTGAAGTCAGGATCTATAGTAGAAGAGATAGATGCAGTCCTGAGTTCATTACAACATTGTTTGCAATGGCGACAGTATGAAAACAGCCTGAACATCCATGGACAGAGGAATGATAATTGTGGCAGGAAATGTGAGATGGAGCAGGATACATGGATACAATGGAATTTCATTCAACCTTAAAAGAGAAGGGCATTCTACCATATATGACAACAAGGACAAACCTAAAGGACATTTTGAAGCCAGTCACAGAAGGATAAACACCCCATCATTTCACTTATATGAAGTATTTAAAACAGTCAGACTCAGAGAGAAAGAGTAGAATAGTAGTTGTCAGGAAGTGAGAACTGAGCAATGGATAGTTATCTAAGGTGAGTTCTAGAGATCTGCTATATGACCTTTGGTCTACAGTCAACATTACTGTACTGTGCACTTGAAACATTGTCAGGAGGGTAGATCTCAAGTTAGGTGTTCTTATCAAAAATAAAAAATGAATAAAAACAAAGAACACAGTATCACAAAAGACAAGGAGTGAGGCAGTAGACGACATTTTTAAATTTCAAAGAAAAATAACCAATAATTGAAAAACTGTCATATTTATCAATAGCATGTAGATGATCTGGAAAGCTGGCCTCAGTGATTAGAAAGGGCAAAAGATGGTTGGTTAGAAACTGGAAGCA